CTAGATCATTCACAATGAAACTAGAAAATCTGTGATCAATGTAGAGTTTAAAAGACAGATTCATAGCACTGCTTCTACATCATCATTACCAGTGGAGCACTCTCCACAATTTCCAGATGTTAAGCACAGATCTGTGTAAGTGTGGTTATCTGCGAGGATCATAGAAATGGGCTTGGGTAGATATGCACTGAAGCTAGGAAGGGGTGAGGCAGGTGGTGGTAGAAATGCTAAGAGCAGGGATCAGGATAATCAACCATGTATCTCAGAAGGGTCAAGTCACCAATATCATCTGCTGACCAATGCAAGGAGGAAATAAACCCAAAGGAATTACCACCTACTTCCAATTAAACTCAAATCTGTTCACTTGTGGTGGCTCTTTAATGTTTCATGCACGATTGTAACAGAAGCCAATTTGATTTTCAAGGGCAAGAGACTTTGCCACTAAACAGGATGATGTCATTCTTCCTGATGAAAAACAAGAACGGGTGATCTGCTCTAAACACCACGGACTCAGGGAGTTGCTTCTCTACAATGTTAGTTTCCATGGTGGCTGCCGCCTTGGTGCCCTCCTCTGTAACCTCTATGTACGACTTGTGCGTCAGCTTTGACAAGTACAGACGACCACCTACAGCTATGCCAGAGAGATCTGCTCTGGATTTATCAAAGATATCTGTCAGCCCTAGAGCTTTGAAATAGTGTTTGATTTCATAATTTTTCTCTATCTTGAACTGTGGAAGAAACACCTCGACATACTGAGGGGCCATTTTTCTTGGATTGGTCCAGTCCATTAGATTCCAATAGGTCAGTTTGTTTTCAATCTGTCGGAATAAGGAAAGGCAATTTAGAATTGTAAGGTTAAGAAAGGACAAAACAACAACCACAAAGACGTATAGTTTTCCGTAATTATCACCTCCTGGATATTTGTGTTTAAGTATGTGGGTATATTATATGTACTTTAGAAAGAGAGAAAGAAACAGAGAGACAGAGACAGACAGAGACAGAAGTCCCTGGGTGGTGCAAATGGTTTCATTCTCGACTACTAACTGAAATGTTGGCAGTCTGAGCCCACTCAGAAGAACCTTTGAAGAAAGTCCTGGTGATGTGCTACTGAAAGCTCAAAGCCTTGAAAACCCTATAGAATACAGTTCCACTCTGGCATACATGGGGTCACCAAAAGTTGGAATCAACTTGACGGCAACTGGTTTGGTGCTCTGGTTTGATAAATATCAGACAACTAAGTTCCATGAACCTCCTTTCCCTACATCACATGGTTGTTGTAAGGATCAAATGAGATGACATAAATGAAGTGCATAGCACATAGCCTGGCACATAGTTGGTGCTCAATAAATGGTGTCTATTATTACCTTTGACTGGGAGTGCAGAGAAGGGAAATGAGGTCTAGACCTCTGGGATTGTAGGTCACAGATTCAGAGAGCCAAATCCAAGAGGAAAGGAAGAAGAATAAGAGCTGAAAAAAGATCAAGCTGTGAGATGCAGTGATGGCATCTGGTCTCCCTGG